CAGGGATACTTTATTTAGAAAACGGTGGTTCAAAATAAAACTGTTCTATTTCACTCCTAGGTAGAGATCCAAGAGAAATGAAGATTTACATGCACACAAAAATTTGCACACAAATGTTCACAACAGCGTTATTCCTAACAGCCAAGGAGTGAAAAGGACCCAAATGCCCATCAACTGATGAATGAAGAAAGAAAACGTAATATATTCATGTGCTAGAGTTAATACTTGCCAGTTAACAAGGCAGAACGTACTGATACATGCTATGACAAACCTCTGAAAGAAGTCAGAAGCAAAAGACCACACGTGCACATTTTCATTTAGACAAAATGTCCGGAATGGGCAAATTACTTACAGAGAAAGGAAAGAGATTAGTGGTTGCCTAGGAATATGGGGAAGAAAGGACTGGGAAGTGACCACACCAGGGTTTCTTTTTATCATGATGAGAAGGTTCTAAAACTGTGGCCATGCGTGCACAATCCTGTGACTATAGCAAATTCCACTGTGTACCTTAAATAAGTGAATGACAGGGCGTGTGGATGATAGGTCAAAAAAGCTATTCAACACGCAAAAACTGTTAGGTGGCTTCTGTCCACACTGTGTGTTTACTCCTGTGCTTGTTCATTCCACTCATAACATATTTTTTAAAATCTTCATTCGTGACGAGGAGGGCTTTTCATTTTAAGGAAAGAATCATCCTTTTCCTGCTACCTCTATAAAATGACAAACCAACGTTTCCAATCTTAACATGACTCTGCATACCGAGATTTTACAGCGTCTCGTTTAGAAAGCCAGAACAGAGCGGGCGATCTCGGCAAGAACGCACACTAACGGGATCCAGAAACCATCACGACAACACTCAGGAGGCGGCGGCCTGGGGGGACCGGGGAGCTTCCTCATAACTGCGGTGGTTCTTTAGCATATACGGAAATGTTTACAATGTGCTCTGCACAGCTGCAAAGTATTAAGAATGCTGTAAACGCACGCAAGGTAAGCTTCGCCATATTTGCTTCGAACGCGAAGGTCGAGGCACAGCCCCGCGGCCGGAGGGCAGCTCCTCCTGACAGTCTCATTTGGGTGGTGGCTCAAGTGCCGCCCTCCCCTCCCTTCAAATGTCACCCCCAAGGGTCTGCCAGACAGCGTCCGCCAGACAGCGTCCGCCATGCCATTGTTGAAGTCAACCCTGGGTCTCCAGAAGGTCCTGGTTGAGACGAAAAGGTAATGCCTCAGAGGGACGGCACAGGGAAACGAGAAAACACTAGCAGAGCTTCCCACGCTGACAGTGCTCTCACGAACATGCTGGGCATTTCTAAAACCCAGCCGGCTTCCTGCAACAAGCGTGGCCAGCACCAGCCCCACAAAGAGACACAGCACCAGAAAGGCAAAGATTCTCCTTACGCCCAGGGGAAAGCGGCATTATGAGAGGAAGCACAGTGGCTATACTTGGCAGACGAAGCAGATTTTCTGCAAAAAAGGCTAAAACTACAAAGAAGATTGTGCTAGGCTTGAATGTATCGAGCACAACTGCAGAGCTAAGAGAAGGCTGGCTATTAAGAGACACAAGCAGGGAGGGCTGGCTAGTTCAGTTGGTAGAGCATGTTAGTCTTGATATCGGGGTTGTAAGTTCGAGCCCCGCATTGGGTTTAGAGATCAGTTCAAAGTAAAAATAAAAAAGAGATGCAAGCCTTGTGAACTGGGAGGAGATGGAAGAGAAAGGACCAAGAGATCCAATTCTAAGCTTTGTATTTTGTTATATTATGAAGACAATAAAATCTCTAGGTTATGCTCAGAAAATTTTTAAAAAATTAAAAAAAAAACAAAACCATAAAACATTAGTAGGGATCATATTCTCCGGTGTGTCTCGTGTCCTGATCCTTTGACACAGGTCTCCTGAGCATCACACCAAACAGGCTATTAGGAACAAGCAGCAAATACCAACAGGTGTCTTAGGCAAGCACCCAACACTTGTGCAGTCCCAGACTTTTGGATCCTGACCTTTGGTCCTTGCTCTTTTTGTTGATCTCCTCTCTCCTTACCTCCTCTCTGGTATTTTTCCATTGTTTTTGGTTCTGCTTGCTCCTGAGGTCTGTCTTCACCTTGTGCCTTAACCCAGGTTCCACGCAAAGGCCCTGAAGATTCTACTCTAACTAGGCCAAGGCTAAATGTTACGGCCCAAAGGAAAGAGCAGAGGTTTCAGGAAAGGAGGGAGACACAGATGGGGAGACTCTGGGGGCAGAAAGAGGAAGAAAGACGTCAGGCACAGAGGCCACTGCCTAGGTTGAGCCACAGTGACAAAGAGGTAACCTCAAGGCATGATAAATCTTGGGTTGATCCTGCAAGGAGGGAGATTTCAAACACACTCCGCCCACTTAACAAGTATGTCCCATTAAGAGAAACTCAGGGTTCATGCCAATCAACAGCTTGGCCCATATAACCTGTAAATGTTAATGCTGTGAGCACGACCATACCTGCTAATTAGAAAGCCTAAAACATTTCGTGCCAATGATCATTTTTAGAGTAAATATAGCCCGTTTGAGAAAGCTTGATATTTGATGGTGCAGAAAAAAAATGAATTAAGATTTTCCCATTCCTGGCTTTACAGATACAATAAAAATGTGATCTTATTAATCCAAATTATTAAGCAGCTTCTCCTTAGAGCTGAGGTAGACGTGCAGAGCAATGAAATGCCACATGACCTGAAGATGTCCACAGTCTTTTCTCAGGCTTTGGTCATTTCTAGGTGCAAGAAAGTTTATGTGTGAAGAGAGAATTCAAAAATTCTGTGTGAAGAGAGAATTCAACAATTCTGTAACTAAGGATTTGGTGTGCCAGAGATCATAAACTACAAAAGGGTGTTCTGTGCAAACTGAACAGCACCGAGGAACAAATTACCAAAACACAAAAATGGTGCACAGTGACGTGGACACGTGGCCTCGGGTCTCCAAGTACCTACGCGAACGGGAATTAGATGACTGAGCGGAGGCCCAAGGTGCCTCCCAAGTTAAGTCACATCTGAATACCTTGGCTTTTTCAGCCTTTTAATTAGTGAAAAGGGAGACCAGACACCTAAAACGGTCCCTTGTACTTTGGAAATCCTCGTGAGCAGAGCATGGAGAGTACAATGAATAGGCCAAGGGCTACACCTGGAGGGCTGACGGGCCTCAGCCCTGCACTGCAATGTTATTCCAGGTGTTCTAGGGCAGCTCTGAGCGGGGCACTGACATGACGTGGGTATTCTTCAAGTTCTTCTCTACATATTTATTGGAGAGAGAGAGAGAGCACGCACATGTGCAAGCAGGGGGGGGCGGGCAGAGGAAGAGGGAGAGGGAGAGAGAATCTCAAGCAGACTCCACGGTGAGCGCAGAGCCTCACACGGGGCTCAATCGCAAGACCTTGAGATCATGACCTGAGCTAAAGCCAAGAGTCGGGCACTCAACTGAATGAGCCACCCAGGCACCCCTGATGTGGTGTTTTTGGAAACTCTCTCAAATGACTGCTGTGTGGCAAATACTTTCTGCTGGGGCAAAAGTGAAAGCAGAGACACCAGGGAGAAGGAATGCCCTACCCTGGCGAGAGATGCTGGCTTGGAGTCCAGTGGCAGTAGCGGCAATGAAGTAGATGTGGCAAATTAATGGTTTCAGCACATGTTTCTGAGATGAAGCCAACAGGCCTTGCTGACAGGCTTGGGAAAAGAGGACAAGAGATGCAAGTGAAGACTCTGGGCTTGAAAAGCAACAGGGCAAAGGAAGATGAGGCTCTATTTAAAGAACACCTACTGTCAGGGAGGCGGACAGGAAGTGGTAACTCCACAGGGATGTGGAGTCAAGAGAGAGGATCTTGTGCTGGAGAGTTGTTTGTGGGTTTGAGGTAAAAGATACTACAGGATGTCTGGTGGAAATGATCCAGCGCAGAGAGAGAGAAAGAGATTGAGTCAGGAAGGGAAGTGCCTTTATCAGTGGTGAAAAGGGGTAAAGTTCATCCAACCAACAAACATTTACTGAACACCCATAGATATTCTTTGTTCTTGAAAGGTTTATGGTCTAAAGCACAGTTAAGTAATATAAATAAATTAGGCAGCAAAGTAAGATCCAATAGAGGCAAAGTATGAATGGACTGTGATGGATAAAGGCTGTTCACGTACTGTAACAGATTGAGGTGGCGGGGGCAAGCACACACGGACATTAAAGGAATGGCTGATTAACTTATCTGAGTTACTGATCAAGTCTGGGCAAACATTTTTCACACAATTGTTCCCAATCCTACTTTTCCTAAGACAAAGACTTTTTTTACTTTCATGCTCCTGAAGAACTGTGCAAAGACAAAAGGGTATTTATTTAGTAAAAGACTGAGCAAACCCTGTTTTCTCAGTCACTAAAAAAAATCTTATCGGAACAGTTCATCTAATGATTTTTTAAAGTTTTACTTCCCATTTAAATTTCTTCCCAAGTGCTACATGAATGAGTCTGCAATATCTTTTCTATTTGGCGATATTCAGTAATACTGACAGAGAATAAGTCCCGTCACTTTCTGGGAAGCAGACTCTCCATTTGGAAGGACCGCTCTAGGAGCTGGGGTGGGTTCACGTGGACCTGTGCATCTTGCCGAGGTCACCCCTCTCCCCCACCGTGTGAGATCAAAACCTGACTCACCCTCAGAGTGTCTTGCTCTGGCCATCCAGGCCAACTAGTCAAGCACAACACAGGACCTGAATAAACAGACATTTTCTTCCGAAGACTAGTACATATTTTCAAAATGATTCATTTAAAAATCAGACATTTTTCTGATGCTTCAGCAGCAATACCAACTGAATGAGGTAAGATTTGCTGTTATCAAATAATCAGATATTCGTAAAAATCATTACTATTTCTACAGCAAAAACACTTACCTCTGGAACTATTAATGTTCACAAGCACAGACCTTTGCATCTCAAACCAGAACAAGAACTGGGTTAATGGTTTTCACTTAGACAGTTGGGACTTAAATTTTCCTCTTACTACACCAACCTGCTGAGCCGCGTCTCCATTCACCAAGTGAGGCATCATGGCTACCTCTCCGTTCAGCAATGGTGGCAGTTCCAGAGGGATTTGGTCGGTCATCATCATTGTGACGTACATTCATGGAGAATTTCCCTCAACTGGCTTCCTGCAAGAGAACCACCATTTTTTAAAAAGGACCCAGGACCCCAAAAAGTCATGTAGAACAACATCAGCAATTTAAGTGCACCATCAGAAAGTCAGCTGAAAGTCAAATTATTCTAATCCTATAGTGCGGCGTTATTGTGCCAGGCCCCAAGGAGGGGTAAAGCCAAAGCAAGAAAATGGCTGGAACTAGGAGACCACCAACCTGAGTCTCCGAGCAGCCGTGTGGAACATAACCTCCCAGACGTAGACTTTGTCGTTTAGTTATAAATTTTTTAAATATATGAGTAATTCTAACTACCCTACCCCAGGGATATTTCTGGGGCTAAAATGAGACAATACTGTGAGAAGGTCAAGTGTCAAACAAAAACTGGTGGTATCATTATCTTTAATTATAGGAAACAAGGCCAAAGAGGATGACCTACAAAAACAGGTGTTCCTTTTCATTAGGATCAAAATACTGTTCATAAGCAGTTAATCCAAGCAAGTTAACAAAGCTTACACTGCAATTGTTGCAATTTCTGACCCTGCCACTAATTTGGTAATTAATCATGTTCTAATTATCTCTCTCCTGTTATTTCCTTGAATTGACTTTAACATGCTGTGCATTTATGTCTTCATCACTGTGCAGATTTTGAACTCCCCTGTATCTCAGACAGAACCCATGGCACCTTGTGCAGAGTAGGGCTGAAAAGCAAACGACCTTGCTTCCTCGGAAAAAATGATTTTCATACAAGTATTCAAGACAACACAAAGCCATTGTCATTCCAAAATGGTACCTGCTACCAAAAACTACCTTTCCAATTCAACAGTGGGAAAATAACAACAAATTCCTATTTAAAATTATAACTTGCTGGGGCATCTGGGTGGCCCAGTCGGTTAAGTCTGCCTTCAGCGCAGATCATGATCCCTGGGTACTGAGATCGAACCCCACCTCCGACTTCCTGCTCAGCAGAATCTGCGTCTCTCTCTCTCTCCCTCTGCCCCTTCCACCACTCATTCTTCCTGTCCCTCTCAAATAAATAAAGAAAAACTTTTAAAAAATAAAAATAAAATTATAACTTGTTCTTTAAGAAGTATTTACATATCCTTCACTTATGCCTAAAAATTTATGGCATAAGAAGTTTAACATCATGTGCCAAGAAGAGAAAACAAAGACACACATTTTAAATCTGTTCAGAAACAAATGGACATGCACTTTTATCACTTATAATGAAATCCCTCCAAATATCAAATCGAGGATATCTGATCAATGAATCCTTTAATCCAAATCACAACTGGGAACCCCAATGTCCAAATCAAGCAAAACGGTAGGATAAATCCTTTAACAATTATCTCAAAGTTGTCTCAGGTGTGACAGAAATAGAATATTTTTCTCATTCTTAAACCCCTCCATTCTGAACATTAAATATACTTCCCTCTCCTGCAATCCCACCCAAAAGAAACTCCTTCCCTGGAAGTATCAAATGATGCATAAAAGCCACCCAAGAGACTGTAAACTTTTTTATTTTAAAAAGGTAAAATTTTACACTGTTCATTATAACCCCATTCAGAGAAACTAATTATTTTAAGCACCAAACAACGAAGTCTTGTCCCAACTAGGGAAGCACATTCTGTAATAACAGGTCTTATAATTCGGTGTTAATAGTACCATCCTGCTGTTTTTATGAGGCAATTACTCAGTTCCTAAGCAAATAAAAGTACAAAACCCAAAGCCCAATAGTTTATCCTGATGAAAGAAACAGATTCTTGCACAATAAAATTAACTAAGATAATTCCATTGACACGATCATGACATCACTGTTTGATTGAGTAGGTCGAATGAGGGAGAACTGATGTCCATTTCAATTTTATTTCTAATATATTTAATCCTCCCAGTGCATAAGGATAGGGCAGCTACTTTCCTCAGACTGCCGATATTACACAGGTTTGCTTCTGAAGTGGAATGTTTTATTTCATGTTTCTTCCAAATTGCAAGCTGGATAAACAGGACAGTCATTTACATCAGGGGTCTGAGTATGTAAAGCCTCAGGGTGAAGCGGCTCTCTCTTCCACCTTTTCCTCGATCCTCCCCAGGAGAGTCCCAAGGCACTGGGCTGGGGAGGTTGTGGTGCGGGGATTATGGCTCCCTCTTCTCCCCCTTCCCCCAGGGAGGGGCCAAAGCCCTTTGCCACAGGAGCCTTCATCTCACAGACCAACCCAAGGACGGAATCTGTCCTTCTTTTCTCTTCCCAAGAGGGGCAGCTGGAGCAAACCGACTTCAGGGATTTGTCCCTAGGTCCTTTCGGCCTCTACTCTAGGTCCTTCCATTAGGCCAGAGAATGGTGAATAATGAATGGGGAGAGGGGTAGTACAAAGGACTGAGGTCCTCAGTCAGGACCTGCTTTGGGCTGTGGGCTCCTTCTCTCCACATGGTCCAACCCAGCTGCCTGATTTTTCATGTTTGAGACTCAAATCCCATCAACCTGCTTCTCACTGTCTCTTGTATCTGCAGGTACTAGGCAGCAGGAGATAGCTATAATCTGAAACCAAATTCAGGCATTCCTGGTCCCCTGGTCCCCTGTCCTTAATACAAAAGAGTATCTCAAGGCCAACATTGTATCTAACAGTGACAATTCCAATTTAAGAAAATTTCTGGTTGGCGCCAAGTTAACCCATGGCACTTGCTATTAATAGGAACATTCTTAACCACAGATGTCAGGTCCAAATTATAGAGTTAAATCCAGGCTCTACAACTGTGGGATAAGGAGATAGACCTGAGGCCTAAAAGGTCCTATAGATGGAGAATGGGAGAGTAGGGGACCCACACAGAGTTACAAAAATACCCACCAAAACCAAGTCCACTAGGGAAAAGAGATAATTATAATTGTATTTGCTTTTGAAAACTGTACAGGCAACTTTGGGTAATGCAGCCATTCTATAAAGAAAAAAGATGCCTGAATCCCTTTTTCCCCCTTCTACAATGGATTATCTACCTCACCCATGCCTGTCTACCTCGCCGATGTATGGTGATTATTTCAGATTACTGGGAAGGGGGCCGGATAGGGGGAAGGGAGGACAGAGGGAACTGGGGAACTGTGCTTGAAAGAAAGTCAACTATGTGACAATCACTCGGACAGCCGTCAGTGTGAATTTATAAACATCCCACACTCCTAATGCCTAAACTCAACCACAGTTAATCACGGAGGAAACTGAAGAATGAATAAAGAGAACAAAAGTCACCGTGAAGCCGGGCACGGAGCCCCGCTTCTCCATAACCAAAGCTGCTGATCCTCTTGTCCCTAGGCCGGCTTGCTAAAATCCAAGGCCTGTTTTTCTAATCCCTAAGAGTTTTATCAGAAGTAAACCAAACTTTATCCCCAGTGGAGTATCAGGTAAAAGATTCATGAGAAACAAACTGAGGGTTTTGGAGGGATTTGTGGGGGGTTGGGTGAGCCTGGTGGTGGGTATTAAGGAGGGCACATATTGAATAGAGCACTGGGTGTGGTGCATAAACAATGAATTTTGGAACACTGAAAAAAATAAAATTAAAATTTAGAAAAAAAAAAAAGATTCATCTAGGTGGGGAGGTACTTGCAGCCATCAGTACTTAAATTCCCATTTCTAGGCTCTCTGCCCATACATACAATAGTTTCACTTGACTGGAATGCAAAAGATATAATGAAAAAAGTCAGTAAGTTATCTCTAAGCAAGATAATGCCCAGCTATTTAGCAAGGCAATGGCCTGCCAAGTTGTCCCTTAAAATGACTGTGGAATACAAACAATTTAGCATCACAGATGAAGCAGCAAGTGTGGAAGCCTTATTATCCAAACAGTTAACTTTAAGGAACAAAACTTACTTTATCTGTAATGACTGTGGACAGGAATGACACATCCCCCTCTTTAAAGAGCAGGCTGGCCGTAAATTGACTTCTTCTTAGGGATGTGGGGTTATTGTTCCCAACGATACTGTGTTTAGTCACAGGGTGATGTGTTAAGGAGTTACTGAGGCATTCTGACCTTACATACCCAGAGAAATTCACCCCTATTTCAAGATCCTATGAGTAATTGTTGGTTTTCTCCTCTTTCTCATGAGGCAATACTGCGAGCCACACACCAAACCCCCTCGCATTTCAGGACCATATCCTAAGCTTGCTGTCTTACATCTTCCTTGGGCTAAGAAGCCAGAGGGCTAGTCATGTACATACATAAGGGGAAGGGTCCTTGTGGGGTCACTGAAGCTCCCAGATGTGTCTTCAACCATCTTCCTTGATTATTTGCTGATTATCAGCTCTAAGGGAAGCTGAATGGCCAGACGGGTAACCTCCAGAAAACTGAGCTACGCCTGTTTTTTGTTAGAGTCAGAAAGTCTCGGAAGAAACTACCCTGACAAAACACTTATTTTCCGGAGCTCCTGGGTGGCTCAGATGGTTAAGCATCTGCCTTCAGCTCAGGTCATGATCCCAGGTCCCTGGGATGGAGCCCCGTGTGGGGCTCCCTGCCTAGTGGGAAGCCTGCTTTCCCTTTCCCACTGCCCCTGCTTGTTTCTGCTCTCGCTGCTTCTCTTTCTCTCTCTCTGTCAAATAAAAAAACAAAATCAGAAACAAAAAACACTTATTTTCTTCGTCTGGGTTCCTTCTCCCCTAGACAGGTGTGTATCTGAGCTGGCCAAATCGGTCCCAGAACTCACATTATTTTATTCAAGGCTGTGCCACATTCACACTCTCCCCCTCGCACATATCCAAGTTCTTGCAAGGACCCCATTCTCTAGACCACTACCCTTCACACATGAAGAATAAAATTGTGCTGCAAAACTAATATGGATTAAAAAATGGAAAACAGAGGACCACAGAGGACCCCTGCTACAACACTCTTCTAACCATCTCTACTTCCCCCATCCTGCCTCCACAGCTCCAAGGTCTCGTTCCTTGTCTTCACTGTGCTCTTACCCATACTTCCATTTCAAAGAATTGGGTAACAACCACAGGCCTTCACCACCTCTCCCCCCTAACCACACATCCTAA